AAATACAAAATTAGAAAAGATAACATAAAACTGAAAAGAAATTTATAAACCACAAAACTATATTAAAGAAGAATGATATAAGAAAATTAAAAAAAAAATTGAAGAAGAATGTGATAAGATAATTAGAGAACTCAAGACAGGTACAGCCTCAGAAATATTAGAAATAAGTTATACTCTAATTAAACAAGCAGGAAGAAAACTCAAGAGATCTTTAGTCTATGCAAACTTGTGCTTAGAAATAGAAGAGGTACTAATAAAATAGAAGGTAGTACAAGTATATTCAATACCAAAAGACATAAAATGAAGATATAGTCTGAACAATATTTATCTAATAACTCTAATTAAAATGTTTAGAAAGGTTGTAACAAAGTCAATAACAAAAAGAATTAGTAAAATATTTACAAAAAAAGAAATATTTAAAGGATTAAACTATGCAAGCCTATTAGGAAACTTGATGGAACAACCAGTACATGTTTTAAACATGATAATAGAAGAGATAAAAGAAAAGAATAAAGAGGTTTGGATATTTCTACAAAATATGAAAAAGACATTTGACTCAGTTTTACTCAAAAGTCTTGAGCTAGCCCTACAAAAAGTCAAAATACCCAAAATAACAATCAAATACATCTTAAATCTTTTTTATAAAAAATAGCTTAAAATAATTATAATATATAGTTTAATAGAAGAAATAATAGCAAAGGATGGAATAATCAAGGTAAAGTGATATCACTGCTAATATAGTACCTCTTCTATGATCTGCTACTAGAAAGATACAGAAAAATAAAAGATTAGACTATATAATAGAACAAGAGATTAAAAAAAAAATACATTGTAACAATATTATAAGTCATTGCCAAGTAGCAATTGCATATGCAGATGATATAACATGGATTGCAAAAAACAAAGAACAATTGCTAGAGATCTTAAAAATGACAGAAGACTTCTTCAAAATGAATAACATTAAGATAAATAGATCTAAATCAAAATTGATAATAATGAACAAAAAAGTTAAAAAAGAAGAAAAAGAAATAAATTTTAAAAAAATCAAGATAACAGAAGAACCAAGAAACAAGATAGTATGTTCATTAGAAATCTGGCTAAACAACAGAATGTGAAAAGTCTTAGTAAAGAAAAAAACAAAAGAGATAATAAGCCAAACAATAAAAGACCTTAAATATAAGAAAATAATAATGAGTTAGATAGTATATATAAACAATATAGTAATAATACCAAAATTAAGCTACATGTTGCAATTGATAAAAATATTAAAAAAAAGAATAAATAAAATATACCAACCAATAATATGTTTGGTAAAACAAAAAAGTAGCTTACCAAGAATGTTAAAGAACTGTATAATAGAATACAAAAATCTTGGTAGTTGCAGAACTTTATGACAAGAACTAATAATAAAATAAATAAGAGGCCTGATAGCAAAACTAAACAGAAGAGATGAACTAGGGCAGCTAACAAAATTGAAAATAATGCAAAGTTGTTAAAAAGCAAGTTTAATAAAAGATATATAAAAAATAGAAAAATTGTTAGAAGACAAATTATGTTGGAAGAACAATTTAGTTTGTTTGATGATAATTAAAACAAAAAAGTTAAGAATAAATATAAATATAGAAAGTGAACTATAGACAACAAATGACTATAGAAAAGAAGTAGTTTTAAAATAAATGAAACTAGACTAATATATCTAAATCAGCTACTTAACATAAAAGAAGAAAGACTAATAACATGGCAACAATTTAAGGCCTATCAGAATCAATCAAATAAAGGTAAAAAGGCAGAGTGGTCAAAATGATAGAGACAAAAATGCTTAACAAAGTCAAAAGCAGAGAAGTTAAAGAATAATTCAAAATAGACAGATGTAATATATAGGCAATAAAGATCAAATGAGAAATTCTGTCAAATAATAGGAGAAAAAAAAAATAGATAGTACATAGTGCAACAGAGAATAGGCAAGTAAGAAAAATAGTAAAAAGAAGAAAAAGAAGTTATTAATAGAACATTAGTAAATGTATAATATAAAAAATAACATAATAATAAAATCAATAAATTCAATAGATATATAAAAGAAGAAGAAATAAAAAAAAATATTTGTCAATATTGGATAAGAATCAACAACAAAATAAACATAGTTTCAGATATGCTAATAGGAAGAAATAATAATATAATTAAGGTAGTTATTGACTAACTAATAGGATATACAAGAACAGAAAAGCTGAGAAAAAATAAACAGAACTAAGAATACTAAAAGACCTAGAAATAGAATTAATTAGAAAACAAAGAGTAAGGAAGAACATTAGTCAAGAGCTAGTAGAAATCTTGAGAAGAAATATAGTAAGAAATAAAAACAAATACATAATATATATAGATAGTATAGCAAATAAAAAAAACAAAGAAGAAACAATAGATAAAAACATAGATATAAGTTGGGTACAAATAAGTGAAACACAAAATTGGTCAGAAGAAAAGATAGTATTAGGAGTAAAAAGATGGACTATGTCTATCATAGCTAAAGTGCTAGCAATATGGTCAACAATTTTAACAATACTAAAAGAAAAAAAATTAGAAATATTTATAGATAACAATGCAGCAATTAAAAACATTAGTAAAGACTTAGCATGTATAGATAGAAATGAAGTTCTTAAGAGAAAAAATATATTATAAGTATTGAAGATAATAGATATAATTAGAACAAAGAACTTACAGATAGAATGGATCAAAATGAAAAGTTATAGTAAAAATAAATGAAATGATAAAGTTGATAGTCTTGCAAAGAAGAAAACATTAAATAGAAAAATAATTTTCCTAGAAAAAGTCAATCATGAAAAGATAAAGTACTACCTAGAATAGAAAAACAAGTAAATAAATATATCAGTAAGACTTTTATATAAAATAATAACAAATACCAGACTAAAAGCAGAGTAGAAAAAAACAATAGCAATCAAGAATATAGAACTAGAAACAAAAGTAATGACTTATGATTGGACATACTTTTAGAGAAGACTAAAATCATCTAAAGAAGTATACTGTTTGATAATAAGAAACTGTACAAGAAGAAGTGTTTTTATAAATGTATATTGGACAAATTTTTAATATTAGAAGAATTTAATAAAAAAAGACCAGATATATATACAATAGCAAAATGTCAAGTCTACTAAAACAAAGTTAAAAAAAACATAAAAACATTTAGTATTGTGTAAGAGATAAGCAAATCTATGAAAAAGGATACAGAAAGTATTTTTACAACAGCATAGAAAAGTTTAAATAAAAAACAAAAATATGAATTCTATTTCATATATTATATATGATACTTTTTTGGACAAACAGAGCAAGATGAAATAAAAATAATGAAGACATAATCAAAAACCTAATTTTAAAAGAAACTCAAGATAGATTATTTCAAATTTTGTGCATGAAAACAAGACAACAGTTTATGAACATAGTAGTAGAAACAACATGAAACACATTCTATGAACAAGTTTAGAGAATCTGCTATCAAAAGATTAATACATAGGAAAAAGAAAGAGGAATAATGAATAAAGAGAAAAAAAGAAGACTAAAAGAAAAAGAAAAATTAAATAAAAAGGAAAAAAGAAAGATCAGTTAGCAAGTGATAGAAAAAAGGAAAAAGAAAACAAAAGAAAAGAAGAGCAAATAAAAAAGGAAGTTAGGAAGACAATTAATAAGCTTGTCATAAAAAAAGAAAGACTCTTTTATTATGAACTTTAAATAGTTAAACAAGTAGTTTACTTTGGATAAAAGTAATGTAACAGATTGCACTTAGGTGCCATTAGGGTAATTAGGTAATGCTAGGCTTAGTTGTTAAATATATTTATGTAATTACAGTAGTAGTTTCAAAATTCTTAATAAAGCACTAGTGTGACTGCTTAAAATAAAAATAAAAATAAAAAAAATAAAAGATTTATAAAGGAATACAGTTAGAAAATTAATTAATAATAACAAAAAACCTTAGTGAAATAATCTCAAAAACTAGCCTGAATAACCCTTTAGTAATGAGTATAAACTCACTCTAATGCAGTAAATCACCTCTAGGCGCTTGTACAATAGCTAGAAGATGTCAGACCTAAAAATTAAGCTAATATTTGTATAGTTACATATGCAATTTTCTTAATAAAGAATTTTGGCAAGATTGCCAAAGAACTAAAAAAAAAAAAAAATTTTATTTGATATATAAATTTGCATTTAAATATTTGCTAAAATATATTTTTTTAAATCTTTTACTAAGTAAAAAATTAAATTAACTTTATATAAAACATTTTTTATACAAGATTACTTCAATTTTTCTTTTAATTTAAGGTTAGAAAAATCGTATTTTAATAAATATATATGTATCAAACAAGTTTCTTAGAAGGCAAAATATATTGTTTTAGTAAACAAAAAAAGTTACACAGATAAACTAAAAAATTTTGATATTATTATGTAGCTAACTTGTTTTTTTTTACTAAGATAACCTATTTTCGCCTTTTAAGCAAACTTGTTCAACTTAAAATTTTACATATAAATAGACTTTCAAAATTAGGACAGTTTTCTTTTTATAAAATTCCGTTAAGAAAATATACAATTTTTGTGGAATTTTAAAAAAGTGGTTTAAATAACTATTTTCGATATGCTTAACCTTAAATTTTGAAATGAAGTTAATAATGTGGAACTTAAAGTTTATAGTAAATTTATGGGTTATTGTAATTTTTATTATAATTTGTCACTTTGCGTGACATATCCTCTGACTGATAAACTCTTCATATCAAAAATTTGACCCAAATTTCAAAAACTTCAATGACAAAAATTTTCCAACTGTTAGCACGTGTCCAATACTGTTAGTAAAGAATTGTTCGTAAATTTTTCTGCGGCTTTAGCATTTAGATAAACATTTACAGTTTAAGCATGTGATAAAGTAGTACAATTGGGTATGCAATGATGTGAATTAATGATTTTGATAACTCATTTAAAAATATCTCTAACGCTTGTTTATTATGACTTCTGCAAATATCAATCAACAAATTTTTGTTAAATTTGAACGATACGATTTCGATAAAGATGAAGATTTTCAGGTAAATCATTGTTGATATACACAAATTGTTTTACAATGAGAATTTATTAGCTAACGCGATAGTCTAATTAAGGCCGGACTCCAGTCAGTTCTCACATCGCATCAAAATAAATCACAGGAAGAGCTAGATAAGCTTAAAGAGAAAGCCAAATGGTTTTATTTTTCAAAGTAATAAATACTTGTATAATTATTTTAGACTAGTGAAAAAAGAAATTTTAATTCACCTAATCAAAAATTTTTTTACTAGAGTTGTTCAAAAGTTTGATTATACCGAATATTTAGCATGGAAGTCAAATGAACCACCTGCATCCGAGTCATCTGACAACCAAGACACGCCAAGACAAGATGTTACAACCAATGGTAAGTCTAAATTGAAATTTAAGAGCTTTTATTTGCTTTTATTTTTTTTCAAAAATAAATTATTTCCGAATGAATAGATACACCGCAATACTCGAGAACTTTTCAACAGTTGGTAGAAATGATTCTCTCTAATCAGCCAATACCAGGTATAATAAATATCCAATCTTTAACAGGGTTACAGACCAAAATCCTGACAGGTCAATCCTGAAATTCAAAATCCTCAAAACAGAATCCTGACAGGTTATAATCCCGAAAGGTCATAATCTTGAAAGATTCTGTTTGAATTTCAGGATTATGACCTGTAACCCCAATATTTGTGCAAATCAACCATTTCATCTGTTTCTAAAATAATAGGAATCAAAGAAATACCTGATGAAATAAATCACGGCACCCCTTCTACTTCTACAACAAAACCACGGCCCAAACCATGGGAAAAACGAAAAGAGAATATCCCAGAAACAATATAAATAATGTATCTGTTTACCGTTACGTTTAATTATAATTTATAATTATTAGCTACGTAAATATAAATTAGGAAATCAGTGATAAATGTGTGATATCAAATTTTTTGACCAATAAGAAATATATTTATATACGTACGAAAATTTTAATTAATGTTAAATATAATTCTCAACACTATGTCAATAGAAAATAATGTTGAAAAAAGTGTGTGTGATCTTTCAAATAATGATAACATTAACCTTTCAGAAATATTTAATTTTCAATTCGAAAGCAAGGAACAGATTGATAATTTAAAAGAATCGAAAGAACTTGACTGTAATGCGTCGAATCAAAGCGATGTCCAAACTGATGAAGTATCCACCAGACAAACTTGTATACTAAAAAACGATTACGATGGATGGTTTCATTCATCAATACAAACAAATAAATTACTTACCCAAAAGCTTGGACCAAATCGATTAAAGCAATCAATTGAATATTATTATTTTCATAAAAATTATAAAGAAGCATTAAGATTATCTCTCGAGTACATTGACTTTGTTGAAAGCTGTAACAATAAAGAAAATAATGAATTGAATCCAAATAGATTAACTAGTACGCGTGAAATGTTGGAAATCGCGGCTCGTAGTGCTTCAAAATTGGGAGATATCGAACTTGCAGTAAAATGTGTTGACAAATTGGTAAGTGTCTGAACTTTTTTAAAGAGTTATTAATACTTATAATAAATAATCTTGACAATTGCATTTATTAGTCATCTAATGAACCTGGACACATGAGTTTTAAAGGAATGATTTATGCTAAAGGAAGGCGTTTTTCAGGTGAATAATTTAAATTTAGTCGCTCGTCGCTATATGAATACTTATTGAATTTAAATTATACTATTTAGATTCCATAAAATGCTATATAAAATATGATCAAATGCGTAAGAATGATTATAATACGTGGAAGGAAATAGGAAACACACTACTTTCTTGTCATTTTCAAAAAACTTTATCATTACAATCGTCAAATTTTCAGAGTTATTCACCTACAATCACAAATACGTTTATTACACAAATGGCACTTTTAGCACTTCACCGATCTCTTAAAATAATGACAACCTCAAAGTGGAAAACTTCTATTCCTTTTGTAAATTCACGTTATATCCGAGAAAAAAATCATATCGAAGAATCGATAAAATTATTGGAACATATAGATGCACAAGAAGCCTTCTCATGGCTAGAAAGACACGGAGAAGGTGAAACCTTTGGGTTGGATGTGGATATCATCAGATGGATATTAATGGAATGTAAGACCAATGTTAGTGAAGTTGTAGAGGTGGATAAAGAACGATCAGTGAATCAGTTGTAATTCTAGAATAATAAATAATTTATAACTCTTGAACAATTAGAATAGAAATGAATGTTTGATTTTTGATTCGTGAATTTTGAAAAAAAAGGTTCTAAGGTAATGAATTCACGGATCTGATAACTATTAATTCGTTGATTATTTGTAATGGATGAAATTCAGTAAAATTTTTAAGCTCGTAAAATTATGATATAGATAAATCTTCAGTAGTATAGTGTCATCTTTTAATTTCTACACTTCAACTTTAGAGACAAGCAATTCAATGGCGGGATAAGGTCTTGTAGCGATCATCTGTCTTTTTCTAACTTCAAACCCTTCAATCATTTTAAACTTAAAATTTCGAATGTATACTGCTAACAAAATTTTAAATTCTATAAGGGCCAGTTTATTTCCTATACAAGATCTAGAACCAGTCATAAATGGCATATACGTATAGTTATTAATTTTTGAGGTTAAATCTGAGATCAACCATCTTTCTGGTACGAATTTGTCGGCATCTGGCCCCCAGATTGAAGGAAGTTTATGAATTGCCGCTATTGGCACTACGATTGGAGTGTTCTGTAATATAGTCAACAAAGCATTATTTTTGATTTGTAAAAAATTTTAATTAAAGAAAACCTGATATTTTGATACCTTTGGAATCAAGTATTCTTGTAAGATATCATCTTTTGCAGGTGTACGGATAATGATTGGAACTTTTTGGAGACAATTATCCATGTTAATTGTTAATTTTTTTTTAATTAAAATTTTAAAAATATTAACATACATGTTCATTAACTACCTGGTGGAATAATTCTCATGGATTCTTTAATAACACATTCTAAATATTCCAAGGAATTAATTTCATCAAATGTCGGCTCAAAATTGGGATCAGGAAATACTTCAATTAATTCTTTACGAAGACGATCTTGAATCTCAGGATATTGTGCGAGTAAATATAATGACCAGGAAGTCGCAGAGCTTGTGGTTTCATGTCCCGCCGTTAGGAATGTCATAATCTAATTTTTATTTGATTATTTTTTTTAAAAATAAATAAATAAATACTTATTGATTATTTAATGAAGATATTAATATATTATTATTAATTTAGTTTATTCTTACTTGTTGCTTTAATTCCATATCAGACATTTTTTCCTCTTCAGGTAAATTTTCGTTAATGCTAACTAGTAATGATAACAAGTCTTTACCTATCGGTTTTCCTTCTCTAAAAAACTCTCGCCTTTCTTTTACCAATTTTAAAGAGGTTTTTTCGATAATCTTAATACATCTGCGTATTTCACGGTTTCTTGGTAATGGAAGTTTCCTAATCCATGGAATGTAATGTACTAATACTGAAACTGCCACATTCAAGGCTGTCCTTTTGTGATGAAAAATCCGTGTATAAGCATTTGCTAATTCATTTTCTGATGTGATATTGTTGAATTCATATTTAAATCCTAAACATTATCAAATTATAAATATCTATTCAATATTAAAAGTGTGAATGAAATCTTTGATTGACATACCAACCAATCCAATAATGTCTAAAGTTACTTTTGATAAAAATGACGAAATTATTAGCCGCTTCTCTTCTTCATCAATTTGGTTCTTCCATATTTCTTTTGACTGGTGCACAACACGAACAATTGTTGGCACCATTTCCTATTACATAATTTATGTAGGCTGAACGTTTAACTACAATGTCTCATTATAAAAACAATAATAGATTATTACCTTAATATTGGTAAATGTAAATGCAGGATTCATCATTTTTCTCTGTCGTTTATGTGCGCCACCTTCAGACATTAATATTCCATCTCCCAATATTGCTTTAAGATCAGTGATCATATAAGAAGGTTTTGGAAAGTCATATGCGTTGTTAACTAAGACTTTTTGTAAAATTTGGGGATCCGTAACCGAAATTATCGGCCTATTTACAATGCCATGATAACAAACAATACCACCATATTTCATTGCCCAGTCAAACTGTGGCTCAGCAGGCTACGAAGGAAGTGTATTTTGAGCATTTGATTTTTAAAATACAAGAAAAATATTTGTCATCATATGGTTTTATTACTTTTAGTAAGTACAAACCTCCTCATTTACCAATCTTATAACATTTCCCAAGAGAAAATGATCGATTGGTGGTCCGGGTATTTTACATGTGGGTGATAAATATAATGGATACCAATAGAATCTGTACATTATAACTCCAACAAAACAGACAACAACATATCCGACCCAGTTATCGATCATTTCTTTAAAAATATTATCGTTATAAATGTTTAACGTTAAAAAAAAATTATTCGTTGTCGCCCTGAATTTTTAAATAACAATAAAAACTAGTTTATTACAAGTAAGTACAAAATTTATGCCAATTTAAGTTTTTAACGTAACTATAAATTGTTTATCATTGTCTAACCAAGCTTTCATAGTTTCAAAGTGCTGATAATTTTGTTTCTTGTGCTTACTTATTGTTATTTTTTAATTTCATATTTAAAATGTCTCTAACAAAAAACTCATTCTAAATGAAGTATGTAGTTTATTTAAAAGGTTTAAATTACATAAATAAATTTTATATATAGTTTGTTTAAAAGTTTTAAATCTATTTGTTACATCTTTAATATATATAAAATATTTAAACTCTAGCATTAATTTAACTTTGATACCGATACTTACTGTGTATATTTAATTATAATCATCCTTCGCCAACCCCATCTACGCAATTTGGGATAAAACATATTATCAGTACACAGGACGTTTTTTGTGTGTATTATTCGATCACTTTCTAATCATGTGATAGCTCGATTTTTGATTTTCTTCTTGCGTAGGAAGTTGTGAAACTCGTAAAAACTCATTAGTGAAAGTTAAGAATAAAAATTAAATGAAGAAAAAAAGCAAACAAAAGTAAAAAGAAAAAATAGTGTGCGAAAAATGAAAAAGAAGCGAAAATAAAAAAAGAATTAAATGATTAGAAAAATTAAATAATACATACGAAAACGACAGTGCTTACGTCAGACATTATGTTATTAGTTAAAGTTGCAACCGATAACTATTAATTATATTTTGCTTGTAAATTCTAAGTAAAGAGATAGCATAAATTTTTTTTAATATTAATGATATCTTCATTGAATATTTAATTGAGATTTTACATAAAGTATGAATCTACTTTTAAAATATTATAGAAAGAGTAGAAGCTTAGATTAATTTATCTGAAACCTAAATCAAATAACATAAATTTTAATATTATATTGATTTTAATTAATAATACAGTGTAAGATAGTTAAAGATATTTATATAAAAATTAATTTACTAAAAAATATTATAATTTACAAATAAATAAGTAATTAAAAAGGGTGTGGTAATCTAGTAAAGTGGATAGGTTGTCAACCTTCAAGTGGCAAATTTAGAGTTCAAATCCCAGTAATGGTAAAAATTTGTAATTCTTTCTATGTTATGGTTAACTGTCTTCTGTGATTAGTTGGAATAAGACACCTGTAACCTATGTCATATCAGCATAACTAAAAGGTCTAGGCATTCATGCAATATTATACAAAGAAACACAAACTGGTACCAGGTAATGTGAACCCAAGATAAGTCCTTAGGTTATATAAATCATAGGAACCAGGTAAAAAGATGAAAACCCATTTTGAAGACCCAAGTAGAGAGATAACTCAAAATCTTCAATGATATTACTATAAAGACTAGATCTATGAAATAGAGTTAGAATTTATGAAACTAGGCAAAGAGCTAGCCTTTAAGAAGGGGTTAAATGGAACCAACTAGGTTACTAGAATCTGTTTCAAAAGAAAAAATTACATGTTAACAAATATGTAAACCAGAGATATATGATTATAATCTGTCTTTTTAGACTATCTGATTTGAAAACTTGATAGAACTTAAATTGAATATCAAAGTAATAGAGATATATTGTAAAGTCAATACTGAGGTTAGAGTTGAGATAAACTCTACAAAGACATAGCAGTTAATGGTACATTCTGACTGCCAATGTTAGTCTTAGTTATAGTGATACCAGGTTAGCTATAAGAATGAAATACAGAAGATTTCAGAAGGTTTAGTATAAGGTTAAAGATTCTTTATATAAGTAAACTGCTTTAAAGACTTAGTGATTATAACATATTTTCATTAGTATTAGTTAGGGTCATTGGTAGACAGAATTAGATGAGTGGATATAAAAACTAGAATGGTTAAATAAAGAACCTACAGGCTGGTTTCAGGTATGGTAATTAGTATAGAACTTTTAGGCAAACTACTTAAATTAGACAATAACTAAAGTTGTATAAGTGACTAATTGTACACTCATTTCATGGTTGCCCTCTGTGATTGTAATGCAACCATTAGCCAAATATACTATCAATAAAATTCTAAGTTATAAGTACTCACCTTAATATTTAACAAAAAAAAAAAATAATAAGTAATTAAAAAAAACTTCTTTTAAATTGAAAATTTTTAAGTATTTATATTTTTGAAAGAGAAATTTTTTATTTTCAATTTTAATGATATAGTAATAGTTTAATTTTGTCTATTTTATATGTAAGTTAAAAATTTAGCATATAGGATAAACCAATTAAAATCAACTATTATATAATTATGTGAAGTTAGCTAATTAAATAACATTTTTAAAATTTTTTAAAATCAATCTGTTATTATTATTAATAGGAGTCTGCAACTCAGACTTATGTTTATACGTAACAAAAATTCTGACATGGGCATAAGGAAGCTGACATTTAAGAGCTCATTATAGCTCCTCTAGAAAAATGTTAATTGACTATGTTCCACATCTCCAAAGTCAATTATTTAACAATTATAAGTTTTAAAGTAATTAATAATATAATTATATAAATCTTATATATTTTATA